CAGTAATTCCAGGAATTTTGAAGTATTTTAGTAGCATTTTTTATTGAGTTTGGATATTTTAAGATCTGGATTCCCAGCAGTTGCGTATGTACAGTTTATACCTCGCGATTGATAGCATTGTTGCAATTGAACCAGCTACCATAGGGCTTCCACAGATTAAATAGTAGTTTTGGGTAACTTGTGTGCGTGGGTTTGGGTTCGTACAATTACACATGATTTTTTGTCTGTTTGTCTGTCTCCTTGTTCCTACATACATTCTGTATTAGGATAATAGTGCAGAAGTTGAAACCCTTCTGGAAATGAAGGATGAGGTGATCAGAATCTGTTTTGAAAGTTGCGAATAACGTTAAAAATAAGCTATGAGGATTTAAAAGTGAAAAGAGAAAGAAGGAAAAAGAAACATAAATAGTCAAGGTTGTGAGTTCTCAGTGATGAGGATGCTTGGAAAAATTGGAGAAATCCCGTTGTTCAAGGTGTTGAAGGATTTCCTTGCCGTCGTCCGCCATGACCACACCCCTATTGTAGCTCCATGGGTCAGAGACTTCCGTTAGCCAACCGTGCTGTGTTCCGACCTCAGATATGCGACCGTCACTACCGCTACAGGGGGGGGGGGGGCAAAAAAAAGACATTTTGCCTATGTCGGACTTCGGCCTTTTTTCTTCGCAGAGATTGCCGTCGTTGACGGGAGTTCCTCAGCAGAGTATTCCCTAAGTGTCCTCTATAAGTGACGCAGGCCCTCCTTCACTGCCCTCACCGTCTTCAGAATATGACGTCATCTGTCACCGTCGTCAGGCTCAAGGAGGTCTACCGTAAGAGCTTCAGCCTGAAGCTCTTACGCAATTTCGTGAATCGATTTAATGTTGGATAGTTTTCTAGAGGCATTAGCTACCACTGTATGCAAATCCCCTCGAAACTAGCTTTCCAGTAAAGGTCGTTATGGTACACGATCCTTCGAAGACCCCATTGAGCTCGACCAGTGCACCATGTTTCCAGGGCAAATTCTTCTGATGCCGTCCACGTAGGTGGCCACATGAAGATTTTCTTATAGAATGAAATGCGCTCTTCAATATTAAGTTGGGACCATTCGGTCTGAATTGAGCAAAGTGTGCTTAAGTCCATCTGGAAGTTGAGACAAAATTTC